AAGGAGCGAGTGTCACGGCCAGTGCCACGAGCTAAAACCCTGCAGGGACCCAGAGAGATGCAAGGCACGGACGTTTAGACAATGGAGAGGATGGGCTCCACATGCCTATAATCCCGGCATGCTTGGAGGTCGAAGCAGGAGGATCCGAAAACTAAGGGCCCAGCTTGGACAATCTGGTGACTGTCTCAAATTTTTTTAAAAAAAGTGAAAAAGGGCCAGGGATGTAGTCCTGGTTACAATCTCCAGAATTTAGGGACCAAAATGCCACTGAGAAAAGGTGCTGTGGGTTCTGACGCTTCTCCTAGGAGTTGAGAGAAGGTCTCACTATGTATAGTCCAGGCTGGCCCCAAACTCAAGATCCTCCTGCCTCAGCCTCCTCAGTGCCTGGGTCACAGGTGTATACCACTATATCTGGCTCTGATTTTTTTCCAGGTATGGTCATGGTATGTTGCCCAAAGTAGTCTTGAAATCTTGGGCCCAAGAGGGCTCCCTTGTGGCTGGAACTTCACCCAAGCCCCGGCATCCAGCTCTTGCCTTTTTGAACTGGAAAGCTCTGGCCTTAAGGGCAACCCTTACATCACTGTAACAGTAGCTTCAGGCTGTCCTGTGTGTGAATCAGAGGAGAAACCTGTGTGTCCTGGTCAGCTTCTACCCCAGCTAGCTTAGTTTTTTCTTAGCACCACAAGGCTGGCTCTAGGTTGAGCTTATCAGATGTACTGAGCTCGCTTCAGTACTGCACCACTCTTGTGAAAATGGTAGTGTTGGGGCTGGAGAGATGGCTCAGTGGTCTAAAGCACCTATTTGGAACAGGCTTGGCAAAGCACGGGGACCGGGGTTCAATCCCCCAGCACCACATGCCAGCCAGCCCCGCCCCCTGGTGGGCTGAGCTGGCCACACACACTAAATAAATTAATTAATTTTTTTAAAAAAAGAAAGAAAATGGTAGTGTTTGTTTCTATGCCAGGCAGTGGGCTGTGGTCTCTCCATGTGCAAACACATGGCATGGTGTATCATGAAACTAGAAAAGGGAAGATTCAACAAGTGTACATCATTTGGATAAGGAAAAGGAATAAGTATTTAATTGTAAGTATAGAAGCTCTAGAAGAATGCACAAGGAAGGTAACAGTGGCTTTTAGGAGGCGAGGTGAGAGTGTAGGGAGAAGTGGAAGGGAGCCAGATATTGTACACACACTTGTAATCACAGCACTGGAAAATCTAGGCAGGAGGATCATGAGTTTGAGGCCTACATATTGAGAGTTTATCTCACCAAGGGTGGTGGGTTTACCTGGATGGACTTTCCACATTTCATTTACTTTTATTTTATTTTATTTTTTTTGGCGGAACCGGGGATTGAACTCAGGCCCTTGTGCTTGCCAGGGAAGCGCTTATCCCACTGAGCCATCTCCCCGGCCCCTCATTTTCTTTTTTTTTTTTTTTTTTAATTTATTTTATTTGTGTGTGTGTGTGTGTGTGTGTGTGTGGCCAGCTCAGCCCACCAGGGGGCGGGGCTGGCTGGCATGTGGTGCTGGGGGATTGAACCGCAGTCCCTGATGCTTTGCCAAGCTTGTTCTAAGTAGGTGCTTTAGACCACTGAGCCATCTCTCCAGCCCCATCAGAAGGATTTTTTTTTTATTTATTTGAGAGAGAGAGAGAGAGAGAGAGAGAGAGAGAGAGAGAGAGAGAGAGGGGTGTGTGTGTGCAGCTCAGCCCACCAGGGGGTGGGGCCGGTGGCATGTGGTGCTGGGGGATTGAACCGCAGTCCCTGATGCTTTGCCAAGCTTGTTCCAAGTAGGTGCTTTAGACCACTGAGCCATCTCGCCAGCCCCTCATTTACTTTTAATTAAAGTAGAATATACAGAGTGAAAATGTCAGTGTTAAGGTTGGTTGAATTTTCATAAACTGAACACAGTAATGCAACATCACATAAGTGAAGAAGCGGGCATTCCCAACCTGCCAAAGCACCACATCCCCTTCTAGGCCCTGCTGTACTGAAGCACAACTTCTGTCTTGCTCAAACAGCAGTTTTCTCTGTGTGTGTTGAAATTTTGGGGGGCTGGGGAGGTGGCTCAGTGGAATAAGCGCTCCCCTGGCAAGCATAAGGGCCTGAGTTTAATCCCCAATTCTGACCTGCCCCCCCAAAAAATCTGAAATTTTTCATGGGCATGTGTAAAATGATTTAGTAACTTATCAAATGCACTTTTTCTTCCTCAGATGAAGAAACAGTGGGGCTTGAGTAAAACAAGCTGGACAGCCAAGAGGATAGGGGTCTCTCCTTTAGATTTGTTTAGCTCAGTAACCTTGGGGAGTGAGTGACTTATCCGGATATACTCCTACAACTCATAAGTTACACTGAGCTAAAACTTGAACCCAGGTGCTCTAACTTGTAGTCCATGGATCACATTAAAAAAAAGAAAAAATGAAGAGGTTAAGCTTCCTAAGCAAGAGCCTGCAGCAATACTTTGGGAGACATAGCTGTGGGGGGCTGGTGGTGAGGCAGCTGTGTAGTGCACCGTTCTGCAGAATCAGGGCCACCAAGGTCTCAACAGGATGATGCTTGCTTGGGATGTGCATCACAGAGAATGCTGGCTGCTGGCTTCACTCCTCTGACTCTCAGGAGGCCTGAAGGCCAGAGACAGTGTCCTCGCCCATCTTCAGCAGGGATCTGGAGACCCAGCCAGGTGCTGCCACCCTACTCACTTAGCACCTACAGGCTGCACAGTGGTCTGTGATGGCAAGTGACAGAAGCAATATAATGACCACTACTCGGCAAAGAAGCCACTGCACACACATCCACTGGAGTAAGCTAACCTTTATCGTGTCTTGGGGCCAGCTCTCAAGGTGCACACCTACAAATCCAGGACTCAGGAGACTGAGGCAGGATCATCACTGAGAGTACAAGTCCAGCCTGGAGTACATAGTGAATTTAAGGCCAGCCTGAACTACATAGCAAGAGTATGCTCAAAAACAAAAAACAAACAAAAAACCCCAACAACAACAAAGCCAGGAGTGGTGGCGCATGCCTGGAATCCTAAGACTTGGGAGGCTGAGACAGGAGGATTGTTCCAAGTTCAATGCCAGCCTGAGCTAAATAAGTTAGTTCAATAACAACAAAAAAAGTGTTCAAGGCCAGTCTAGACCATATAGTGAGACTGCCTAAACACTCCCCCCCAAAAATAATTAAAATTTAACATTTAGAAGAGATGAAGAGCCAGGGATATGGCTCATTGGTGGAGCTCTTACCTTGCACACACAGGCCCTGGGTTCAATCACTAGCACTAAATAAATAAGATGGGGAATATAGCCTAGAATGCTTGTTGAGCATGCACGAGGCCCTGGGTACAATCCCCAGTACTGGCCCCAAAGGGAGGACACTGCAAATATTACATGTGTTCAGTCCAACTTGTTGAAAAACAAGAATAGAACACGGTAGGTCGATGGTGATTGTTTTCCTAGATAGAACACATGAGATAACAGCTCTGCATGCTCTGGCCTGGCCTCCTTTTGGTGTTCAATGCTTAGCTTGGCTTCATAGCTGAACTTGGATCCAACTCTGGACCTTGCTCATGTCAAGCAGGTGCTTATGCCACTGACAGTGGAAAATACAGAACCTCGAGAGAGCGGTGCTATGGTTCATATTTTTGATCATTGTGCTTTGTTTTGTTTTTTAAATGTATTTAGTATGGGGTCTATAGGATCTCACTACACAGATTGGACTCTAGTGATCCTCCTGTTTTCTCCCTCCCAAATGCTGGGATTATAGGCACTGCCGCCACCACACTCAGTCTCAATAGCCTGTCCCAGCGTGTCCCTGAGTCGGCCTAAGCAGATGCTTTAATCTGCTGAACTATCTGGCAGCCCTTTGTTTTGTTTGAGACAGGGTCTCACTATGCAATTCAGGCTGGCCTTGAGCTCACTTTGTTGCCCAGGCTGATCTCAAACTCTCAACAATCCTCCTACCTCAGCCTCTTGAGTGCTGGGATTTCAGGGGATTACAGGCATATGCCACCACACCAGGTTGGATTTTTCCTTCTTAAATTTTTTTCTTCCTTTTCACTAGTGGAGATTAAATTCAAAGCCTCAAACATGCTAATATGTCCTGACCCTCTTTGATTGAGACAGGGTCTCACTAAATTGCCCGGGTTGGCCTCAAATCTGTGATCCTACTGCATCTGACTCCCAGAGTGCTGGAACCTAACAGGCATGCATCCACGTGATATGGATTTTTTTTTTTTTTTTTTGTATTTTAGTTCAGGGTCTACAGGGTCTCACTACACAGATCAGACTCACAGTGATTCTGTTTTCAGCCTCCCAAGCACTGGGATTACAGGCATGCACCATCATGCCCAGTCTCAAAGTCTCAGCATGCCCCGGGGGCGGGGCTGGCACAGCAGGCCAGATGGAACCTGAACCCCCTCACTCCCCACTGTGTGTGCCTAAGCAGGTGCTTTAATCTACTGAGCTATCTGGCCAGCCCTCTGGATGGGTTTTTTGTTTTGTTTTGTCTTTCACTTCTAGGCATACGTCTCTATCTAGAAATTCTATCCTCCCCACCCCTACCTTCTTTACCAGACAAGTCTGACTCATTCTTAAGGTCTCAGTTTAAAAGTCACTTCCTCAGTGAGACCTTTTATTATTCCCTTAACTGAATTAGATTCCAGGTTTTTTTTTTTTTTTTTTTTCTTGGTTGTTGTTGTTACTCAAAAAGGCAGCAGAAAAGCTGAAATTCAAACACCCCAACCTATAACCCACCCATTTTTTTGGTTCTGGCATGAGAAAAGGTAAAACATGTTATTAATAATTTTAAAAATAATTAATGTTGACAGGATTATTATTATTTTTTATTTTAGGGAAAGGTCTACAGGGAGTTCAGGGTCTCACTACTAGAACAGACTTGTAGTGATCCGCCTGTTTACAGCCTCCCAAGAGCTGGGATTACAGGTGTGTGCCACCATGCCCAGTCTCAATTGCTGTCTCAGCATTCCCTGGAGGCAGGGCTGGCACAGCAGGCCTGGGGATTGAACCCCAGTCCCTGCACCTGCTTACAGGCGTTTTAATCTGCTGAGCTATGTGGCCGCCCACTGACAAGATTATTTTGGATAGCTGGATTTGACTTGGCTTAAATCAAACATATTACAGCTAAAACAAACAAACAAACAAACAAACAAACAAACAAACATCCAGCCATCTTTGAAACAGGTGGCAAGAGGTATTTTACAGTCCATAAAAAATAGGCCCAGGAGACACACTGCTATCCAGATTACTAAAACCAGGTGCCCAGTTAAAAATGTCACAGGTGCTGACCCAAGAGAGGTCCTTCCACTGCCAGTCGACAGCATCAAGTGGCTCTACTGGGTGCATCAGGCTGAGTTCTCAGTCTTATGTATCTGTCTATAGAGAGGGGGTTTGGGAGAACGAACATCTTTTCCACGCTACTTCATTCTGAGTACAGCCTGCCCAAACTGCTATGGACAGGGGAACAAGTGGCTCCTGAACTGATAGAGTTGATGACCGAGAACAGAACACTTAAAAGGCCCCAGGGACTAAACATCTAGGCTGCCTACGACATCTCCTTGGCAGAGGAACAGAGTCCCTATTGCAAAACTGACCTACATTCAGGAAGGGGCTTATTGATGGAGGTGAATGCTTGAATCTGCAGTCAGCGGGATCCAGCATCATCACTGTGTGAGGGCAGTGAGAGTTCTTCCTTCTCCAGTTTTACAGAGTCAGCGAGACCAGCTCTCCAAGCACAGACTCTGAGGCGTGTTCCTTGGGATGTGCTGAATGCATGTAACTGGGCTCTGCCTGCCCGGATGTGTCCTCAGAGAGAATCGATTCAAAGGGATATTGCATATCACACAAGAGTTGACCAGAGCCCTCTGAAACTGTCCACAGAACATTATTCCTGCTGTGTGCCACTTTATCTGGTTAGAGAAGTATTAGAAAGCAGAAGCCACAGGAACTGGGACATGTTTCCTGAGCACACAACAGAAACTCACTGGTTAGTTGCAGACACCATCTTCCACTTGTGTGGCCATCTGAGAGCTCTAGTTCACAGTCTGAGGACTCCCTCCTCACTTCCCTTTCTCTTGTGACATAAAATCCCAGGCCTCCTGTCTCTTCTCAGGCCATGCTGAACCTGCTTCAGTCCCCAAGGCCAGGCCTGTCCTGCTCAGGAGGGACAGCTGCAGTGCCTGTCTGTGCCCTTCTGCCCCTCCTGGTCCAACATGGAACCCAAGTCCCTCTGCAGAGCCTGAGCTTGTGCCCCTTTCACGAGCACCCTCCCTCTGCCCTCTTGAGTCCCTGCACGATGTTCTCTGCACCTCTCTGCACTGGGTACCCATTTCCGAACCATGACACCCCCCCCCCACACACACACACACATTCTGCTGTGTATATTTCTCACTAGACTGTGCCTTCTCAAGGACTGAGTCCTGTCCACCCTCAAAATCCCCTCCACATTTCAGGGTCCCTTTTGATCAAGTTTTATCTGCTGTGGTTAAGGAGCAGACAAGTCCCAGTAGCATTTTACCTCAAGCCATGTCTAAACCAAAGAAAATCAAACTCAAATACTGAGAACTGCTAACACTCTAATACCGAGAACTGCAGTTCCTGGTAAGGCCTTTCAGAAACATGACACTGCCCACAGAAGCACCTGGCAATGCAGCAGAATGTCTGGGTGCTGAGAGGGTAAAATGGGCCAAGACTGGACTGCCAAGGTTTATTTCTTTGTTTTCTTTTTGTTTTTGGGGGGACAGGGTTTCACTGTGTAATCTAGGCTGGCCTTGAACTCATGGTAATCCTATCTGACTCCCAAGTGCTGAGATTCCAAGGTATACACTACCAATGTTTGGTTAACAACTTTCTAAGAATTATACATATTTACATTGCAGATCTGAGGTACACTTATCACAGTAAGAGCTGTTCAATTCCACGTGAATGCTACCTCTCCAGTTGCCTGAGCCAGCATTTTAGATAGGAGAAACACTTTCTATTGGAGTAAAACCAAGTCACCTGTTGTGGTCACATATTCTCCCTGGTGCCTTGCTGAACCTGTCCCCAACTCCTAAGGAGGCTGCCCTCTCTAGGTCTCCATGCAGCCTCCGGACTGGCCTGGGTCCTGGGGAGGAGGCTGTGGCACGGGGGTGGACAGGTGTTCCAGCTCATAGTGCCCACTTTCATGCCCCTCAAGTGTGGGCTTCTCCCTTGTGTCCTTCTGGCTTCTCTTGTGCTCGATGATCTGCTGCAGCTGGTGTCCCGCATATTCTGGCTTGGTGGTCAGTGGACATGTGGGCACAGCCATGCCCAGGATATCTGATACCATGTAGGGGCGCAGCCAACCCACCAAGGGTGTGCTTCCAGGGCTGTAGTGGGTCTGCTTGTGGTAGAAAAGGAGTCCATCTACCTGCAAGAGGGAAATGGGGTCACCATAGCTGCTGAGAGCATATAGAACAGAACTCATGACCCTAGTCCTTTTCTGCTTGCTCCCCATGTGTACAATTTCTCTAAATAAAGAAATGGCCTAGAAAACTAATTTCTAGAAAGTAAAAAATTCCAAATAACACTTTCCTATTTAGAGAGTGTTTTGCTTTCTGGGCATGGTGGCACACGCCTATAATTCCAGCACTTGGGAGGCTGAGGCAGGAGGACTGCCATGAGTTCAAGGCCAGCATAAATTACAAAGCAAGACCCTGTTCCCCCACAAAAAAAAAAAATTGTTTTTATTTTTTCCCATAATTTTATTGAGAGACATATAGCAATGAGACAGTTCAAATCAAATTGGTAGGACAGTTTCAGTAATTAACACATTGCATACTCTCTTCCTAGTGGTCAAAAAAAAAAAAAAATTAAGGAGTGTTTTCCTCTCTACTATCTCACCCCTGACCCACAGGAGGGTCTTGAGAAGGGAGCTTTCCAGACTCAGAGGGTCCTGGGGGGGGGGGAGAGATCTTTAAAAATACACTGAGTGTGAAGCAGAAATCCAGGTAGAGTCCAGCCCTCCTGTCCCCAAACTCCAGTCTCCAAACTCTAGTCTATCACCCAAAAATCTGGTGCAGTGGCTGATCCTCCTGCAGAAAAGGGGACAGGGCCTCCAAGGTGCCAGGCTGCAAGCAGAACACACAGGCTGCCAGATCCCTGCCATTCCTCCCCATAAAGTGTATGTGAGCCACATTCTGGGAAATTCAGCTTTTCTCAACGGGAAGACCTCCTACAGCCCCATATTGTCTTTTCTATGATTCAGTGACTCATCTCTAAAAAGCATTTCTTGCCACTGGGGTATAAGCGTTATAAATAAAGACAGTGTTCTCACCACCTTCCTAATTGACTCCCAGAAATGAAGGCAACTCAGCCTTTGCCATTTCCGCATCCAGGAAGCTGTACCCTTTATAAAATTAGATCCATGCAAGCGATTCCATGCGGGTGACTAGGCAGAACTGTAAGTGGGTGCTGGGCAGGGACTCTGCTTACTGACGGTCACTGCAGGTTCCAAGGATGATAAAAGATTGCCCAGGACTGGGGCCTTCTGGGGACAAGATGCCACTGGTGCTAAGATGGGACAAGTCTGGGAAAACTGCTGTTCAGCAAGAACTACATCCTGGGGATTTGTGCTTTGGCCAGGAGACGACTACAGTCCAAACATTTAGGGCAGCCACAGATGCCCCTACTTCGTAGTCAGCATGGTGGCCAACAAAGGGAAGCTGTTCTCGTGCTGTAGCAAGAAAGCATAAAAGAAGGACCCAGGCATAGAAGTCCTTGCCATCTCTGGGTCTCAGTTTCCCTCCCAGGGCTCTGGTGTCTGATTCAGCTTGCAGGCCAAAGGGCAGCAGGCACACTCCTTCCACTGAGTCAGCCTCCAACCTTATTCTGACACAGCAAAGTAGATATCCTAAAGGCTGTGTAATGGAGCCTCCCTGAACCCTATGGTCACATCAAAGCAACAGAGAGCTCTATTACCTCAAAAGGAAAATCCATAGCCAGCACCTTACACAGGCTCTCAGGGGTACAAGGGAAATTCTTCAGCCCCACAAATTTAAACTGAAATACAAATAAGAACACAGAATTAGTGCATGTTCTGTAGGATACTGGTGCAAGCGACTGAAAACCACTATTCCCATTTTCAGTCTCATCCTTCCCTGTCCCCTCCCATTCCCCTGCCCTTTCACTGGTCAGTGTTTGTCCATCTTCCTTTGCACTCAGGAATCATCCTGGTGTAGGAGAATCATCTGGGAGTTTTTAACAGTTCCGGGTGCTAGGCTGGGAATGTGTCTCAGAGGGTGTTTGCTTATTTTCTCTGAAGCATTCCACAGGAAAGCAATAAACAAAAACTTACTGATGGTTGGGCACGGTGGCACATGACATACCCAAAAGCCCAGTTACTTATGAAGCTGAAGCAGCATGATTGGGAGTGCAAGGCCAGCCCAGACAACTTTGTGAGACTTTGTCTCAAAATAAGCATTTATTTATTTTTTTTTTTGGTGGAACCGGGGATTGAACTCAGGCCCTTGGGCTTGCCAGAGAAGCACTTACTCTACTGAGCCATCTCCCTGGTCCTGTCTCAAAATAAAATTTTAAAAAAATAGTTGGGGATGTGGCTCACTGTAGTGTTCACGGTGTGTAAGGTCCTGAGTTCCATCCTTGGTGTTGGACATCATCCCATGTGCACGTGGCTTTTTTTTTTTTTTTTTCCTCCTACATTGCCCAGGCTGGTCTCAAACTTCTGGGCTCAAGTGACCTCCAGCCTTGACTTCTCCTGAGGTGGTGACTCCAGCTATGTGGCCCCATCCCCACCAGACCCTGACACATTCTGAAGTCACTGGTTCAATGGCCAAGATTCCTGGGCTGTCAAGATGGGCTGTGGGGCTCCAAGGAGGCACCTCTGAGCCTGTTCTGCTCAATGAAATGAAAGATGAATGAGACTCAGCCATGACTGAAATGGTTCCCACGGTCCATGGACCAGCAGCATCAGCCTCACAAGAGACATTATTAGAAACCCGATTCTCAGCCTGGAGGATGGTGCATGCCTGTAAGCTCAGCACTCTGAGAGCTCAGGCAGAAGACTCACGTTTCTACTAAAGGCAACTGAGCAAGGCCTTGTCTCAAAATAAAAAATAAGAAAATGAGCTGGGGGCCAGGGAGATGGCTCAGTGGAATGTACGCTTCCCTGGCAAGCGCAAGGGCCTGAGTTCAATCCCCAGTTCTGAAAAAAAAAAAAGAGAGAGAAAAGAAAATGAGCTGGGGCTGTTGCTCAGTGTCAAAGCTCTAGGTCAGTGGTACAGCACTTGTCTAGCATGCATGAGGCCTTGGGTTCAACCACTAGCCCCACAAATAATCAATCAGTCAATCAATCAAATAGTATTTTCTATTAACTATTATTTTATGTATCTGCCATAATTTTATTTTTTATTTTTTGGTACCAGGAATCGAATTCAGAGCCTCACACTTGCCAGACAGGCACTGTGCTGCTGAGCTACATCCCTGGCCCTGCCATAAGTATTACTCTAGGAATGCTGGCATATTTGTTTTTAAAATTTATTTATGGGGCTGGTGAGATGGCTCAGTGGTCTAAAGCACCTACTTAGAACAAGCTTAGCAAAGCACAGGGACCACGGTTCAATCCCCCAGCATCACAGGCCAGC